CCCCCGTGACGGGCTACGTGCGCTTCCTGAACGAGCGGCGGGAGCAGATCCGCACCCAGCACCCTGACCTGCCCTTCCCGGAGATCACCAAGATGCTGGGAGCGGAGTGGAGCAAACTGCAGCTCTCCGAGAAGCAGGTATGGCCCCCTGGGAGAGACCCCCAGGCTGGGGAGCTCCAGAGCCCGCAACTCAAACCCCTTGGCTCCCTGCGGGGCTGGAGCTGGTCCCAGTGCTGGGCTGGGAGGTGGTGGGAGGGGCTGGGCCAGGCTGAGGCCCCTCTGTGACTGCAGCGGTACCTGGACGAGGCAGAGCGGGAGAAGCAGCAGTACATGAAGGAGCTGCGGGAATACCAACAGTCAGAGGCCTACAAGATGTGCACGGAGAAGATCCAGGAGAAAAAGATCAAAAAAGGTGGGTTGTGAGAGCAGGGGCTGCTGGGATCTGGCCAGGCACTGCCAGAGCCTTAGGGGTTGTGGTCTGGCTGCTGGGGTGACCCTTTTCCTTCCTACCTTGCAGAGGATGCAGGTTCTGCGGCTGTGAACACCCTGCTCAACGGGCACAAGGTAAGGCCCCAGCATGTCTGTCTGTCTCTCTGTGGGAACTAAGGCACGAGGCACTGCTGGGCTCAGTCCAGGGAGCTGGACTGGCTGCAGGGCTGGGTGGGCAGAGGGATGCTCAGGGATGTGAATCCCAGGTTCCTGGAGGGAACAGGAGGCAGAGTGTAGCCAGCTGAGTCACGGAGTGTAACCATCTTCCCTCCCCACCTGCCTGGGCAGGGCCGCCCCTCACTCCCTGTACCCCTCACCCCTCACATCCTGGTGCCTCCCCTCTGCCCAGCCCCAAGGGGTTGGGGTCCCCTCTGGGGGCTTCAACCCTGCCTTATCCCTCCCTCCCATCCCTCAGGCTGGCGAGTGCAGCGACACCTTCTCCACCTTCGACGTGCCCATCTTCACCGAGGAGTTCTTGGACCAAAACAAAGGTGAGGGGCTGCGAGATGCGGGCTGTGGAAGGTCCCTGGAGAGGCTGGATGGAGGGACAAGCCTGGAGCCTGGGCATTGGTGGCACTGAGCCTCTTGGAGGAGCTGTGTCTGGGGGAGGGACTGGGCTGAGGGGGGTCGGGTCCATCCCGCTGTCCCGGCAGCCCGCGAGGCTGAGCTGCGGCGCCTGCGGAAGATGAACACGGAGTTCGAGGAGCAGAACGCCATCCTGCAGAAGCACACGGAGAGCATGAACTGCGCCAAGGAGAAACTGGAGCAGGAGCTGGCACAGGAGGAGCGGCAGACCCTGGCCCTGCAGCAGCAGCTGCAGTCGGTGCGGCAGGCCCTGACCGCCAGCTTCTCCTCCCTGCCCATCCCTGGTGAGTTGGGGGAACCAAGGGACTCCCCAGTGCCTGGGCAGAGGGGCATCATGGGGCCCCTTCAGCTGTGGGGACCCCTGCTCAGGATGAGTGGCACTGTGGGGTGCCCCATCCCAGGTGAAGGGGCACCGTGGGGCAGCGGGGTGGTGGCAAGTGCCCATCTGATGCTGGGCTGGGATCCTGCAGCACTTGGGGGACTCCCTGGGGAGCCCAGGGATGTGACAGCCAGCTGGCTACCCTGTCCTGGGGCAGGGCAGGCTGAGAGCCATCCTCCTCTGGAGCCACACTCACAACTGTGCCCCAGATTGGCCCAAATCCACGTGCTCCAGGACTTGTGCCAGTGCAGGCTCTGTCCTGCGGCAGGACACGGCACCGGCTGCTGGGGTCCCTTCCCCAGCCACCAGTGCATGGGCAGGGCTGGGTGGGGACCCGCTCACCGGGCTGTCACCTCCCAGGCACCGGGGAGACCCCCACGCTGAGCACCCTGGACTTCTACATGGCCAAACTGCACAGTGCCATCGAGAGCAACCCCCTGCAGCACGAGCCGCTGGTGCTGCGCGTCAAGGAGATCC